CATTCGTAGGCTGAACGTAGATCCAGAATCAAGATGCACACCAAGATCGATATCCCAGTGCTTACTTCCATTGGACTTGAAAGGTTTCTTGTTGTCTTTGGTCCATTGAGAACAGTGCTTCAATGAACAGTGCTTCAATGAATCCATCTTCGAGGTCGTCTTGTAGATCTGCATGTTCAAGCTTCCATCGCTGACCATGCTGTCATCGTCCTTGAAAGTACTGGCAGCTTCTAGTTGTGCTTGCCATTTCTTCATTAGTAACTCTCCTCTGTCTTCAGTGGAGACTGCTTTCTTCTTCAGAATCAGTCTTACACGTACTTGTGCAAGGTTCCATCCTGTAATTCTACCATTAGATCGTCCATCAGCAACAGATCTGCCTCGTACCACATAAGATCCGGGTACATCAGTAGTACCAGAAGTGCCATTTCCACTCCTGTCAACAACAGCTCGTTGCATATTGCTTTGATGTTGTTGACCAGTTGATTGTGTTCCCGTGACGCTAGACGCGGCATCCAACTGCGCCGCAGATGCAGCCGCAGGGACTTGGAGATTGGCTCTCCCCGCTCGTCTTGAAGTAGTAGTAGTGGGTGCGTCGCTGTATCGCCCTGGGTCGCTCCATTCCGCTCGTGGGCGCATGGAGCGTTTGGGACAACGGGTGACCCCATGGCCAGTATCTCCGCAACACCAGCAACTAAAAGCCGGTTGTGAAGATGTCGTTCGAGCATTCGCTTGTGCGTTGCTCACTCCGTCAGGGGCACTACCGCTTGCAGTGTTTGGTCTTGGAGTATGTCTTGGTGTCGTCAGACCTTTCTTTTGATTGTCCGGCTTATGTTTGATAAGCGCTTTTGCGACCTGGTCAATCGTAGTTGGATATTCGTTTCTCTGATCGTAGTCCTTGAATTCCATGGCGTAGGTCTGGTTCGCCTTGTCCAACATGCTTTGGAAGCGAGACCTGTCGCAGTTGTAGAAAAATGCACTTGCTTTAAATGTTTCCAGAACTTCTTTCTTGAACGTTTCTTGGAGTGCCTTGGTATCGTCCGGATCGTCCTCCGGATCGTACAGATCCAGGTACCCCATTGTTTTGGTCGCATAGACATGCAACACATCGATGCCAAGGATTTCGAATACTTGGTCAGCTTGAGCTTCGAACCGCCTTCTGTAATCGTTCACAGACTCGTTTTGCTTCTGAGTGCAGTTCGCGAATCTCTTGAGAGATTCCATGAGTCCAAAGTGTTGCCACTCGGTCTCATCCGTGATGGTCATGAACGTCTTCATACGCTTCAACAGCATCACATGGTCTTCCTTGAGGTCCAACCAATCAGTTTCATTGCTTAGCTTATCTCTCATTGCTTGAGTGATGAAATGCTTAGTGATGATCGCAGCCACAGTATATTGGTTCGTGGTGTAGATCACCTCTCTCTTGTCAATCTTGTTATTTAGATTTTCCCAGTTCCTATCAAGTTGAGTCTGTCTCGAACTTTTGTGGAACTCGGAATCGTTCTTTCCTGGCTTGTAGACCGTCTGAGTGCCTCTTAAAGCCTCAAAGTCCACATGGGTCATATTTCTCACACTCCAGATCATATCTTGAGCGTAGTCCAAGCTCTTGAGTGCAATAGCCTCGAGCAAGTATATCGTCACCTGCCCATGAGTAAAGTCAGGATTGTGAGGATGGTATTGCTTCGGTCAACCGGCCTTCTTGCCGTGAGACCCTCGACCAGTCTGCTGTGCAGATCTTCCTCCACGGCCACCTCGACCGCCTCTGCCTTGGTTTCTTCCACCAGGCATCTTGCTCTGTAGTTCCTCCTACTTTGCAATGTTCAAAAATTACCTTTGTTGATCGACTGTCAGATAATCAACTCCGTAGCTGTAATGAGAGCCTCAACGCTCTAGCTACCTCTGGAGTATACTGAGCTCGAATCTACGTCGGCTATGGATTGCCTACAATAGGAACAGGTGCCAGTGATGCTGGGCTTCTACCTGCGGATGAACAGTCTCACCACTTCCTATTAGATCTTATTCTACTGCTATTCTTGCCAGAAGTCGATCAACAATGATCTCCACAAGCAGGTACAAAAAATCTCTTCCGGAAGCCATCTGCGTCAGCTCTCACCAGCTGTCGCGGCGTATAAAGCACATACGCACATGTTCTTCACGAACTAGTCACAGATCTAGATCTACCTTCAATACTTATCCATCTCTGTACGTACTCGAACCGTACTCCCGTCCGTGTTCGATATCACGAATGTCCGACTTCACTGTCCGACATGTTCGACTGTTCTTTTATCTGTTAAGATCCCATTTCACCAACATGGGACATAGAGTCCCAATAGAACGTCTCCCCTCCTCTTCCCAGCTTTTTGCAGCAGCAGTACAAAGCTGGAAACTGCAATTTATCAATCAGAACTAACGAGCTGTGCGAGGCAATATCACACAAGTTCGTTGCTGAGTCCTTCTTCTCTCCACAAGCTTTTTGCCCGCCAGCAGATGAGGAAACTGACACACAGCAAATGGTTGCACCTGGTGCGTCCTTCAAGTAAAACAAAGTCTTCCTATCCGACGCTTTCCCTCCCAAAGCTTTCTGCTTGGTTTCAGCCTTAACATCACTACTGGAACCACCCACCTCAATACCACCAATATTTACACCAGACAGAACATTTTGTCTCATACCTTTATAATCCTCAATCCTGAGTGAACCCCGTGAATTAACCGACAATCCAATCTTCTTTGCAACCCCCTCCCGACATAACATAACTATCATCAGCAGCCACCGTAACCACCCGAGGAGGTGACTTCCGGGACGACGCTGCTTTGAGATTCTTCAAATAGTCAGTCATGATCGGAGATTAGGAAAAGACTACGAAAAACCACAAAAAACCAAGCGTGGCTGTAATCACGATAACTTCAAATGTACTATTTGAAGCCTGAAACCGATAGACCAGTGCACTTGTCCTCGTGTTGCTGTCTAGTATACTTGAGCACTACTTGGGTAGAAAGAGAATGGTAGTTTCATCCTTCAATTTTTGGCAGCGCTTCCGGCGTGGCTAGTAGAGCGGTACCGATTTGCGGGGCGCACACGTGCAATTTCCGAATCCCTGTGTACAAGATTTTAATTGTTAGAGACCTGTCCACCAAATTAAGACCTGTTTGTGTGTAATTTCCAGCAGAACTCGTTCAAATCACGGAATTTGACCGTTGTATGCCACTGGAACCTTCCAATGGGAGTTACCTACAATAATATGTATTCAGTTCTGTTGAAGGGCATATCCTCCTCGACTTATAATCAATCTTCCAACGGAACACTAGGCATCTTCGATAAAAATGATATTTACACACAGATCATCGCCAAGACGAGCCAGCACATTTTTCTCTCGTACCATTTCCACATACGACGAACTACACTTGACTGCAAAATCTGACAGATCCGCAATGAGATCCCAATCAGATTGGCTGTGCTTCCCTTCTTATTGACGTTGAGCATTCAGGAACTGTTTCTTTGGACAGACTGTCTGTAAGGATAATGTTGGTGCAATATGAAATGCTGCTACAGAAATAAGGCAATTTCATTTGGAGGTAGAAGATGTCTGCGATGGAGAAAGAAAACCACGAAAATAGTGCAACGGATATCTTTTGGTTGGCGCCGTTCGTCTGCCCTTCGAGCTGATGCAAGAGATGGTATGTACGTACGTCAACGGTGCGAACAAGGATGCGAATTTCCAAAATTCCGTGTATATTCGCTGTTGCTGAGAAGTCGGAAGTATGGACGATTTTGATTATACACAAACTAAACTGTAACTCGAGAAGCATGTCCGTGAAGTCTACTGATACCTCTTTTCTTGCTCTGGCGCTGACCGCTGCCATCACTGCCGGAATCACTCATTGGTGGACGAGACGCCTAGAAGAGCAAAAGGTAAAGTCTGCGTTTTGCAACCCACCACTATTTCTGATGAATCTTTGGGACTTCGATTGAAGGCGGTAGCCCTGTTTCCACGATGCATCATATCGATTTTCTGTCGGCTCTTGAGCTTCCTATCTTACAACTTTTCTTTCCAACAATCCAGGTATTGAAAGAGAAGAAACAGATCTATGATAGGGAGCTGCTGATCAAAAGCAAAACACTGGAAGCCAGAAAATTGACTGGAGAACCAGCCGGGACTGTTATTGAGGATTTGACGATTGATAAAGTCTTCCTATGGGAGGTAGAAGACTTGAAGAAGCGGTTTTCCTCGAGCGAAGTCGACAACGAAATGAAGAACGTACCTTCATCCAACACGAACCCCTACTTTTTTCCTACTCTCAATGTAGCTCCTAAAAAATTGGAAGAGGCAAAATCGAACCAGCACGCTACGCCAACTGCTTACAACAAGCTGATCACTAATCATGAATGCATCGTTGCTGATATTGTGCGTAAGCCGAACATGAAGACCTACACGCACGCATATGTCAGAGCTGGTCCCCGAGCGAAGCTTCACTTTGATCCAAAAACAGTAAATGCAGCTATTATTACTTGTGGCGGTTTGTGCCCTGGCCTGAACAATGTGATCCGGGAAATAGTTTGTACTCTCTGTCAATTATATGGGACTAATGGCAGTGTTTACGGCTTAACAGGTTCGTTTGAGCAGTTTTGGTGATACCACGTTGTTGTTTTTTGACTCATTTTATCTGTTGCTGTGGTTGCATTTTAGGAGGATATCGTGGGTTTTATGACCCAGCCTACCGCCCGATCAAACTGACTCCCGAACTTGTTCAAAATATCCACCATGAGGGAGGCACGGTTCTTGGCTCTTCCAGAGGAGGGTTTGATTTGGAAAAAACCCTTGATTTTCTCGAGTCGAAAAAGATATCTCAACTGTGAGTGCTGCCAATATCTTTCAATTTTGTGATGCTGGACTCATTGACCTCACTAACATGAACTCTGATCGAAGCTTTGTCATTGGTGGAGATGGAACGCACAGAGGTGCTTTTAGAATCCATGAGGGTTGCATGGAGCGTGTAAGTTCTGATTTGACCATGCTGATGCTGCTCTTTAAAACCTTCCATTGTTGATCCCCCTCTCGCGTACGCCAACAATCTTGTAGGGAATGAATGTGGCTGTTGCTGGCATCCCGAAAACAATTGACAACGATGTCGATTACATTGATCACTCATTTGGATTCTCAAGTGCCGTTGAGGCTGCGCAAGTAGCCATACGCGCGGCCAAGACCGAGGCAATTTGCAATATGCCAAACGGTATTGGAGTTGTAAAGTTGATGGGAAGATCCGCTGGGTACATTGCTGTTCATGCGACCATGTCTTCAGGGGACGTTGATCTTTGTCTTGTTCCCGAAGTTCCAACAGTACTCGAGGGAGAACTCGGATGTCTTCCACATCTTCGCAGACGTGTCAAAGACCAGGGTTACGCTGTGGTGGTAGTGGCCGAAGGTGCAGGAGAAGATGTGCTTGGCGTATCGGCAGAAACCGATGCCAGCGGAAATAAAAAGTTGCCACCAATCGGAGAGTTCATGAAGGCGCAAATTGAAGAATACTTCAAGAAACAGGATGACGTAGCTACAGTAAAGTGAGTACTTTTGTTGTTACCAATGGACAAAGCTTTGGTATTTGTCTCACCCTTGGTCATTACCGCAACGATAAATAGGTATATTGATCCTTCCTACACAGTGCGATCAGTTCCTGCAAATGCAGCTGACAGTCTATGTAAGTTGCGATTGCTTCAAATAATTGATTCAACCTCTAGATTCTCACGATCCCATTAGATTGCATGCAACTTGGGCAAAATGCGGTCCACGGAGCTATGGCAGGGTTCACTGGATTTTCTGTTGGTTTGTGTAACAATCGAATGGTTTTCCTTCCAATTCCTCAACTTGTTGCAACATCTCCTCGCTCCATGAACCCACGGGGAAGGACGTGGGAGCGCGTTCTTGCGCTTACTCGACAACCTAATACTGTTGCAAAATTGAACGAAAATGCTTCTGTCGAAAATGTACAGCCAACACTACGTTAAAAAAATAAATGTCGTTCTAGTTGGGGTTTTTGGCGTGTTTTGCGCGCGTTACTGCGTACGCTTTTTGGCCGATGGGCTCTTGTTCGATAGATCTGATTGGTCGAAATGTGTCTTTCTTTTGCACATGCCATTCCGCGTGCTCTAATAAATTAGCCGTCATTTACACGACATTCGTCTTTCCCAATGTTGCACAGGGCCGAAACTATACAGACATCGATGGCCTCGAGTCATTTTTCACTTCCTGTGAACTGAAACCATAGTGATTACGAGAAAACTGAAACTGAAAACTGTGTCTGCGGGATTCGTTTTAATCTCATTTCCGCTGCTATCATGTTGTATCATGGATACCTACTGCAGCATCAGCTTCAATGACAGCATTTACCAACAGTATCCACGGGTATCCTGCAACAAGAGTCGTCCATTCATGTTTGCACCTGTCACAAATCGAGAGATCCTCTATCTGAAAAGAAGCCATCGGAAACAGCGACAATGACCACCAAATCTACTTCCGGCTACAAGGCCGAAGTCAAACAATTCCAGCAGCCCCACAAAATCTTAGCCGATATGCAAGTTTCTGAGCAGCAGAGATTGCTGATTTTGTCGACTCTGATGATAGCGACAACATCAATGACTGAGAGAACAGAACAGTTGGAATGATAAACGAACTAGTGAACTGTGATTTTAAATAAGCTACCTTTAAGATAGTACTTTGCTGTCATTTTAAAGTTGACGTTTAGTGTTCTATCAAGTATCTATGTGATGCTTACGTGTGAAAGTCTGGGTGTACTCGTCATTGGTGGTTCTCGTCCCGACAAGAACCGTAATAATATCTCCATCAACAACAGTTGTTTCCCTTCCATTTTCTCGCTGTAGGACTGGTTCCTTTCTTGATCAACAGTCAAGCTCTCAACATTCCCATCCAGATCAAACTCTTCCCAGTCCTCATATTCATCAAATTCCTGGAGCATGTTGTGAAAGGATGCAACACGTTCGGAACACGTTTCCAATGGTTTCAATGTCCCGAAGTCGAGTGGCGTACTTGAGTACCATGAACCGCTTCTTGAGAATTCAAAATGCACATTCCACGTCTTTTTCCACGTCTTTTCTGCGCGACTCTACCAAGTTGCTCCATGCCATTACGCTGACGAGCCCTCAGCCTGAAACTTGAATGGGCACATCAGAATCTTCTATTGGCGCTTTCGTCCTCTTCCATCATAGATTCGGACTAATCTTGCTGAATATCAAAGAGAAGGGCGATTTCCTCTTTAAATTCTTCATCATCAAGTGGATCCACTGTTTCCGCTTGCATGGTGTTTTGGTGTTGAAGATGTTGTGCCAAACACCATGTTAGGATGCATCATAAATCATCGTGTAAATGATGTTGAGTGGTTTTGATTGGATAAACGGTGTCGTATTAACTTTCCGATCGACTTTCCGAGATTGGAAAATGTAGCCATTTTTCCGATCGAATCGGGTTCTCGGAAAGTTTGTTTTTCCGTTTAGGGTGATTTTCCGACACTATCGATTCGAATTGGTCGTTCCGGGAAAAGAAGACGGGCCACTTTGCATTCATTTTCGAAGGCTCATATTAGTCATATTTATATTATCATGAAAGTTTTTCATTTTCAATTTGGAAGAAGTTTTTAGTAGGTGGTATCTGGTACAATTTTTGCTGGTACATTTTGTACATGCGCCTCAGTTGTTTCACATTTTAAAATGGTAGTATTCGGTCTGCCGGTATCATCACAATTCCTTTTTTTCGTGTTTCAAAGCAAAAAATACGACGAGCAAAAGATCCAACCATGTTCATCCCCAAGGAAAACCGCATCGCAGTGTTCTCTTACTTGTTTCAAGAGGGAGTTTGTGTGGTCAAGAAAGATCCCAAGCCTGCTACTCATCCTCACATTGAAGGACCTACCAACCTTGAAGTTCTGATGTTGATGAAGTCTCTTCAATCCAAGGGATATGTCCGCATTACTTTCTCGTGGCAATATAACTATTGCTACTTGACCGATGAAGGAATCGAATACTTGCGTGGATACTTGGCTCTCCCCGCAGAGATCGTTCCTGCCACTCACAAGGCAGCCAACAAACGCCCAGAAGGTCGTGATCGCGAAGAAGACAAATTTGCGGATGGTGGACGACCGGCTTTCAGAGACAACCGCGGCGGTGGTATTGGACGCGGAGGTGGTATCTAAATGTAGATTAGATGTACAGATTCTATGAAATTTTAGAAAGCTCCTACCTTAGTTCGCTTTAATGCCATTCTCCAAACAATGACACAGCGCGTTTGTTTCTTGCTTGGCTTCGTGAGGGAAACAACAACATAGCACTTTTGTTGCTTGCTTCGTTTCGCGAGGGCGGCCTGTGATGTATGTCAGTACTGGTATGCTGCTGCATGCAACAACAATTCTGTAGGTACTGTCTTAGTTTCCCAAAGCTGCAACAAATGTTGAACTCATTGAATGAGCAAAAATTACAGTAATTACTTGCTCTACCGGTACTGGTACCGGTACCACCTTTCTGTTGTACTCCATCCCCTTTCCTCAAGAAGCCAGGAAATTGATTGGGGATTGTTGTCATTTGAAGCTTGGCATTAGTATGCACTCGTACCGGTTGAAGCTACTGTTGTACCGGTATATTGCACAATGGATGCTGCCTCCCCCCTGCTATCGGTACAGTACTGTATCATAGTACGTTGAACATATGGTTGTGCTGTCTCCCCTGCTATTACAACAACTGTTTTAGCCCTTTCTATTTTTTGATCAGGCAAGACGGTAGACGGACTGGCAAGAGAAGACTCCTTGTTAGAAGTAAGCGATCCACTGCCGCCTGCAATCTACCTGTTTCAATTGACTGCGATTTAGCTGTCCAGGTATTGTTGCCTTCTAAGTATATGAACTTACAGTATATAGAAGTATATAGATCAATCAAAGATCCTACTTTATCAACCAATTCACTCGTTGCTTGCAATATATTATAAAAAGTGAGAATAGTCTGTCAACTTTGACTTTGACTCTTTCTTCTCCAGCTCAGTGGAAATTCTCAGAATTCTCTCTACGTCAGCCTGATATGCTGCAAGTTCAATCTCTTTATCCGTTCATCTTCCACTGTAGTCGGTACTTTGATTAGTATCCAACTTTGGTTCTTGTTTCAATCTTGCTTTCTTACATCATCAACAGGATGATTTCCATAGAAATATAATCCGTTTTCTGACTCGCCACGCTCGATGTTTTTAGTCACATCAGTCTTCATTTTTAGTCATATCAGTCGACATCATTTCTCTATCGTTCACATGCATTCTCTTTTTCTTGTTTCTCCAAATATGTACTTCGAAAATCCTAATATATCCAACACACTCCTGCCGTTTCATTAACATAGTTCATGACAACGGAATGCAGATACTCTGACTTCTGTAACAAGTGAAGAGACCAATTCAGACAAGTTGGCTCTGGCCTCAGCAACCAAGTATCGTAAAGCTACTCAAGAGGTCAAAGATTACGAGATATCCATAGATGGAGT